ATGTAGTGTCTCTACTTTAAAGAGTCCTCTCCTGCTGATGTTCAGGTGTATATCAGTATGTAGTGTCTCTACTTTAAAGAGTCCTCTCCTGCTGATGTTCAGGTGTATATCAGTATGTAGTGTCTCTACTTTAAAGAGTCCTCTCCTGCTGATGTTCAGGTGTATATCAGTATGTAGTGTCTCTACTTTAAAGAGTTCTCTCCTGCTGATGTTCAGGTGTATATCAGTATGTAGTGTCTCTACTTTAAAGAGTCCTCTCCTGCTGATGTTCAGGTGTATATCAGTATGTAGTGTCTCTACTTTAAAGAGTCCTCTCCTGCTGATGTTCAGGTGTATATCAGTATGTGGTGTCTCTACTTTAAAGAGTCCTCTCCTGCTGATGTTCAGGTGTATATCAGTATGTGGTGTCTCTACTTTAAAGAGTCCTCTCCTGCTGATGTTCAGGTGTATATCAGTATGTAGTGTCTCTACTTTAAAGAGTCTCCACTACAGGAGAGGGCTCAAAAAGCAACAGGGCCCCTTTAAGAAATGTACAAATAAAACATTACACATTATGTATCTCATCACCTAGTCTGATCCTCCTAAATGTTATTGATTATGAGAGTTTAATGATCATTGAACTTTTCCCCTGTTTGACTTTCATAAAAACAAGAGGGTTCTTCGTGTTTCACAACAGCGTCATAAATCAAGTCCCAACAGGTCTAAAAACCAGCATTTCATAACTCCAACACACACACACACACATATACACACACCCTCACGTGTCTACACAGTGAAGTATGGCAACAACAAGATGATTATTTGTGTGGATGATGAAGCTTAAACTAAATAATATTCCCATTACTGATACAAAGAAGTTAATGCAAATGTAAAAATAAGTGTTTTAAAAAGAGGAAAATATCTCAAAATGTCCCATTGTTGTTTGTTTTTGAGGACACACACACACGAAACACTGGTCTCAGGTGAGTCCTCAGTGTCCAGAACAAATTCATTTCACTGAAACTCCATCCTCTGAATATGTGAAGGCAGAGGAACCCGACACACTGAATAACACAGTTTAGTGAGATATTCAGGGGACATGTACAAATCATTTGAATTTTATAAGAGAATCGCGATTATCGTCTTGCGATATTAAATAGGCAAATTAACTCAAACACGTCATGTTACAATTATTTTGCTGCTTGCTACAAAAGGAAAACATATGCGGCTCTCATGTCAGGGGTTCTTGAGTGAGTGACAGCAAACCACCAATCACCATCAGATCTCCAAAGCAAACAGACCCGGAGATCAAAGGTAGAAACACTAACCGAGCTAGCTCAGCTTGTTGCTCTGATAACTTAAGATCCAGACGTCCGTGACTAAAAGCCTTCATCCGGTTAAATATAGTTTAAAAAATACCAATTGTATCATTAAAGTTCAAGAAAGGATGGTTTGCGGGGGAAAAAAAACGGTATTTTCTTCAATTCCTGTATGTTTTCATATCGCAATATATATCGCAGGGGGGAAACAAATCGCAATGTCAGTTTTTTCCAATATCGTGCAGTCCTAGTCTCTGTGTGTGAACTGAGTGAAGGGCGTCTGGGTCGGGGGGTTTAGAGGGGTCGAGGTTGTTTATTAATATCTTCTTCTTGAGTTTTAGCGTCACTGCAGGAGCTGCTAAATCACCCCGGCTGAGTCTCTCTCTCTGAGCGATTTAAAGTAATCCTCTCCCTCTCTCTGCAGCCGATCAGATGACACACAGCGAGAGGAACAACCAGAAGAAGAAGAAGAAGAAGAGATAATCCAGATCATTACCGTAGAAAACTCTGTAATCTCGTGCAGCAAGAGGCAGACGTCTGGGAGGGAAACTCCATATGTTTGACCCAGGCTTTCATTTGGTAGGAAGACCTCGTTACAAAACAAAGCCTATTGTTGAAATGTGTGCAGATTTAAAAAAGAGGAACCACTTCCTGTTTGAGGGTCCTGCCAATTCAGCTTCCTACATTTACACAATTCATTGCAATTTAATAGATAGTAAATCGCCAGAAGCGCCGACACCTCCTCATCACTCCACCGCTCCCATGTTTTCTTTTGTGTTGCCATAAGTTAGTCTCTCTCCGTTGGTGCGCTGGGCTAATGCTAATAATGCTAATGCGAGCAAATAAAATGGCGGCTTCACAAAACATTGCAGAGTTTTACGGGCCGTGGTTTGCAATTCGCCCAGTCAATCAGAAATTGGAATCTTTTCCTCCCCAGGAAAGTACCTGCTCTCTGGGTGTTTCTCAATGTCGAGGACGCTTCCTTGGTGGGACGTGTCCTTCCGAGTCAGGTCCATCAGAAGCTAGGCAAGAATCCTTCCTGGCATTCGGAGAACGAAGAATGGAACAGGCTAGCAAGTGTGCAGGTGTGCGTCATATGAGAGGCCCCGCCTTACATTTTCCGTCAAAGATTTGGGAAATTGGTCCGTGCGCAAAGCATTGTGGGGATTTTAAGACCGCAGAGTCTACACATGTGCAGCCTCAACATTTCCCGCAACGAAGTACGCCGGCCTCGGTAGAATTCCAAGGATCCTGGACATTGGAACAGTCCTTCGGCGGCACTCGATGACGTAGCATCCTTGAAATAGTGGCTCTGGAGCAGCCTTCCTCGACATTGAGAAACACCCTCTAGCAGAGACTGAAAAGGGGTGGAAAGGTTCTCATGAACTAAGTTCTAGTTCCAGATCTTTTTGGTGTGAACGCAAAATCCCAAGAACTATCGGAACTATTCCTGGGAAAAGTACTCCGGTGTGAAAGCGCCTCTTGAGATAAATGAGATCTTGTATTTAGCTGGGAAAACTTATTTTGAACTATATTTGACCAGAATCAGGGAATTTGTAACCAAAAAAAGCCAGAAATGCTTTAGACCAGTGGTCACCAACCTTTTTAAGCCCAAGATCACCGACCTCGGCCTAGGTGAAAGGCGAGATCTACCTATTGCAGAATTAAGTGAAAAAGACGGCCCAGGCAGTGCTTCCAATTTGAGGCCTTTTATAGGCTAATTGCATCTGAATTACTGTTACGATGAAGGCTCCATAATCAGCTCACGGCATATAGAGAGGGGGTAAAGTGCTATTTTTTTATGAGTGGGGACGGACCTCACCTCCTCTAGGGGGGACCTCACCTCCTCTAGGGGGGTCCGGTATTTCGGTGATACCGGTATGCACCCCTAAGCATGAGGGCGTTAATGTGGCTTTTATGGCCCCGCCCACTTTAGGGTGAAAATACTGCATTAGAGCGAGCAGAAAATAAAAGTGTCTTCATGTCTTAAAGCTGCCGAGTCATATTTCGCATCTCAAACAACAAATAAATCCAGAGTCACGGTTTCTTTACTTCCTCTTCAGAAAAAAGGAGTAAAAGAAACGCTCAGTTTCAGCATCAGCCTGTTGACTAACTGAGTCATTATGTGGTCGATAAATTATCAGAAAACTGCAATAAGTGTCTTGTTTTAAATGTATTCAATGTTCTCCAGACTGAGAAAATGCAACTAGACAAAGCGTGGCATTTTATTTAGAAAAATGACTCAACCACTACCAAATACATTCCTTACACTGTTAATGTATATATAATATCCTGCTTTATATCTTGTTACTGCAAACATGTATATTTTCTACTTTTTTAAGGCTATTTTATTTCTATTTGAGATGTTTACTTTTTGGATTGTTTATTTCTACTCTTTTAATTTCTCTAATGTTCAATGCCTTGTTGTTTATGCTGCTGGAACGCAAACCTTTCCCAATTTGGAATCAATAAAGCTCTTCTTATCTGATCTTAATGATATGCAATGGACTAGTTGCCTGGGACACTTAAACCCAAGTCATCAGTAATGTATGAGTGTGTGCACCAGCTGCGCTCTGGTGTCACGTGTTTCCACCAGTTGACCCGATTTAAAAAAGGAGAAAGTATCGTGTGTTCGCACTTATACAAATAATTCAGTGTTTTCAGTCTGAATAAATATTCCTTCCTGAGTTCACAGCAAACTGTGAATAAATCCCCCTCTGAATGCATTACTGCTGCTATAAAAACACGTTTACACTTCAGGCATCTCAACGACGCTGATCAGACTATTACAAGTTATTAATAAACTCTAAATACTTTCAAATCCAGACTGAAAACGTATCTTTTTGTCGCTGCTTTTGAGTGAGCTGTTCATATCCACACTGCAGTATAACTTTCATTCATGTATTCGGTGACACTTTATATTAAGGTACACAAATTCACCATCAACTGGCTGTTCATTAACATGCGTATTAGCAGTTTATTGGCTCTTTCTTAGTCATTATAAAACACTTATTAATGCCTTATTCTACAAGTAATAAGCCGTTAGTTGAGAGTTGAAATACTTATAGTTTCATGTCTTGTTACATAATAGATCATATTTGTTAAGTGTTATCAGGGACGCGGGAAGTCAGTCAGAGTTGGGGGTGCGGTGCTAGTAGCGTCTCTCAGCGGCAAAACTGTGACGCGCTGGGGGGGGTGCTAGTAGCAGCGAAACTGTGACGCACTGCGGGGGGTGCTAGTAGGATCTAGTAGCAGCGAAACTGTGACGTACTGCGGGGGGTGCTAGTAGGATCTCTCAGCGGCGACACTGTGACGCGCTGGGGGGGGTGCTAGTAGCAACGAAAATGTGACGCGCTGGGGGGGTGCTAGTAGCAGCGAAACGATGACGCGCTGCGGGGGGTGCTAGTAGCAGCGAAACTGTGACGCCCTGGGGGGGATGCTAGTGCAGCCTTGCAGTGGCGTAACTGTGGCGAGCTGGGGGGGTGCTAGTAGCAACGAAAATGTGACGCGCTGGGGGGGTGCTAGTAGCAGCGAAACGATGACGCGCTGCGGGGGGTGCTAGTAGCAGCGAAACTCTGACGCCCTGGGGGGGATGCTAGTGCAGCCTTGCAGTGGCGTAACTGTGGCGAGCTGGGGGGGGGGGGGGGGGGGGGGGGTGCTAGTAGAGTCTCAGCGGCGACACTGACGCGCTGGGGTGCTAGTGGAGCCTCGTAGCGGCGAAACTGTGGCGCGCTAACACTGTAGGTGTGCCGCGTTTGGGGGTGCTAGTGGAGCCTCGTCGATGGGGGTGCTGAAGCCCCCTCAGCACCCCCCCTTCCCTCGTCCATGACTGTTATTATGGGGGAATTACTATTCTTGTGGTACTGCTGCCTTATTAGGCCCATAGTGAGCAGAGCATATTAAGACCAAAACTCACGTACAACAACTTCCTTACTTGCAACAAATCAGCACTAATTAGAGGGTTATTGAGGAAAAACTCTCAACTAACGGCTTATTACTTGTAGAATATGGTCATGCAGAATAAGTGAATTTGTGTACCTTAATATAAAGTGTTACCATGTATTCTATACCTGTATATCTGTAAAGCACTTTGAATATCCGTGTGCTGAAAGGAGCTGTATGAATGAATGAGCCTGACCCAGAACTACAGGATGCCTTCACTTGTTCATGTGTGATTAAAGCATGAATGCATCCATAACAATAACTGGAATGACAGAGGAAAATGGTGCATTCAAGTGCTCTTCTGATCGTTGTTGTTCTGTCTGTGGTGCGTTCAAAGACGCCGTTTGGCTCTTTCAGGAAACAAAAAAACAAAAAGGTATTTTATCATAACTTTTAAGCTCTTCAACCTCCGGGAAAGAAGCCGTTGCATAACTTCTATGTGACTCCTCCTCTCTGTTGCAGCTTGAGGCAGGAAGCAGCCTCTGTCTCATTTCAACAACTAAACTCTTCATGTACATCTCCATGGCATTCTCTGCAGAGATGTGCCCAACACTACAGAGAAGTTAGTAGCTGCTGCAGCTTCAATGACACTTGTTTAGCACCATGGACCTGTCACCACCATGTGTGCTCTCTCTTTGGGATAGTGACGCAGGTTTTATACCAAACAAGCAGATAACAAACTGGTTTCTCTTTTGATGAGACCACAGAAGAAGAGACAGAGCCGCTAAGAGACAAGAAGACATGGAACACCTCCTTGCTAGTCTACTCTCTGCTCTGTGTGAGTAGCTCAATGTGGAACACCTCCTTGCTAGTCTACTCTCTGCTCTGTGTGTGTAGCTCAATGTGGAACACCTCCTTGCTAGTCTACTCTCTGCTCTGAGTGTGTAGCTCAATGTGGAACACCTCCTTGCTAGTCTACTCTCTGCTCTGAGTGTGTAGCTCAATGTGGAACACCTCCTTGCTAGTCTACTCTCTGCTCTGTGTGTGTAGCTCAATGTGGAACACCTCCTTGCTAGTCTACTCTCTGCTCTGTGTGTGTAGCTCAATGTGGAACACCTCCTTGCTAGTCTACTCTCTGTGTGTAGCTCAATGTGGAACACCTCCTTGCTAGTCTACTCTCTGCTCTGTGTGTGTAGCTCAATGTGGAACACCTCCTTGCTAGTCTACGGCTCTGCTCTGTGTGTGTAGCTCAATGTGGAACACCTCCTTGCTAGTCTACTCTCTGCTCTGTGTGTGTAGCTCAATGTGGAACACCTCCTTGCTAGTCTACTCTCTGCTCTGTGTGTAGCTCAATGTGGAACACCTCCTTGCTAGTCTACTCTCTGCTCTGAGTGTGTAGCTCAATGTGGAACACCTCCTTGCTAGTCTACTCTCTGCTCTGAGTGTGTAGCTCAATGTGGAACACCTCCTTGCTAGTCTACTCTCTGCTCTGAGTGTGTAGCTCAATGTGGAACACTTCCTTGCTAGTCTACTCTCTGCTCTGAGTGTGTAGCTCAATGTGGAACACCTCCTTGCTAGTCTACTCTCTGCTCTGTGTGTGTAGCTCAATGTGGAACACCTCCTTGCTAGTCTACTCTCTGCTCTGTGTGTGTAGCTCAATGTGGAACACCTCCTTGCTAGTCTACTCTCTGCTCTGAGTGTGTAGCTCAATGTGGAACACCTCCTTGCTAGTCTACTCTCTGCTCTGTGTGTGTAGCTCAATGTGGAACACCTCCTTGCTAGTCTACTCTCTGCTCTGAGTGTGTAGCTCAATGTGGAACACCTCCTTGCTAGTCTACGGCTCTGCTCTGTGTGTGTAGCTCAATGTGGAACACCTCCTTGCTAGTCTACTCTCTGCTCTGTGTGTGTAGCTCAATGTGGAACACCTCCTTGCTAGTCTACTCTCTGCTCTGAGTGTGTAGCTCAATGTGGAACACCTCCTTGCTAGTCTACTCTCTGCTCTGTGTGTGTAGCTCAATGTGGAACACCTCCTTGCTAGTCTACTCTCTGCTCTGAGTGTGTAGCTCAATGTGGAACACCTCCTTGCTAGTCTACTCTCTGCTCTGAGTGTGTAGCTCAATGTGGAACACCTCCTTGCTAGTCTACTCTCTGCTCTGAGTGTGTAGCTCAATGTGGAACACCTCCTTGCTAGTCTACTCTGTGTGTGTAGCTCAATGTGGAACACCTCCTTGCTAGTCTACTCTCTGCTCTGAGTGTGTAGCTCAATGTGGAACACCTCCTTGCTAGTCTACGGCTCTGCTCTGTGTGTGTAGCTCAATGTGGAACACCTCCTTGCTAGTCTACTCTCTGCTCTGAGTGTGTAGCTCAATGTGGAACACCTCCTTGCTAGTCTACGGCTCTGCGTGTGTAGCTCAATGTGGAACACCTCCTTGCTAGTCTACTCTCTGCTCTGTGTGTGTAGCTCAATGTGGAACACCTCCTTGCTAGTCTACTCTCTGCTCTGAGTGTGTAGCTCAATGTGGAACACCTCCTTGCTAGTCTACGGCTCTGCTCTGAGTGTGTAGCTCAATGTGGAACACCTCCTTGCTAGTCTACTCTCTGCTCTGAGTGTGTAGCTCAATGTGGAACACCTCCTTGCTAGTCTACTCTCTGCTCTGTGTGTGTAGCTCAATGTGGAACACCTCCTTGCTAGTATACTCTCTGCTCTGTGTGTGTAGCTCAATGTGGAACACCTCCTTGCTAGTCTACTCTCTGCTCTGAGTGTGTAGCTCAATGTGGAACACCTCCTTGCTAGTCTACTCTCTGCTCTGAGTGTGTAGCTCAATGTGGAACACCTCCTTGCTAGTCTACTCTCTGCTCTGTGTGTGTTGCTCAATGTGGAACACCTCCTTGCTAGTCTACTCTCTGCTCTGTGTGTGTAGCTCAATGTGGAACACCTCCTTGCTAGTCTACTCTCTGCTCTGAGTGTGTAGCTCAATGTGGAACACCTCCCAGTGTGAGAAAAAGTTTTTAGAGAGTACTTGTCCATGGACAAGTGAGTTTGGAAATGTACTTGTCCGAATACATTTTTCACTTGTCCATATCTATACTTTGTGCATGCATTGCTGCACCTATTTTAAATATGATTACATATCAACATAAAGCACACAAGAATCTAGATTACTGTAGGAAACATTTTATTGTTTATTTGTTCATATTGTTCACAGTGTCTGGTTTCTGAACTTCTACCATCAAGGCACATCAAATGAATGACAGATATAAAATAATAAGATAAAACAACTAAGTACTAACAATATAATGTTTTCTCCTCTGTGGGACTAGTAGACATGCTAGCAGAAAGGTATGGCTTCAGGCTCAGGGTGGTTGTTCACTGCAGCTGTCTCCCGAACTGTGGGGCAGCACTCCAGTGGTTCTCCTCACACCGAGCTATGGGGCAACACGTAGGGTGCATCAAATTTGAATGGGAAATTTTAATTTCAAAATATCAATTTGGCTGGCATTGCATTGTGTTCCAATTACATAAAAATGACATTTGCAAAGTTTTGAGGAATTCCATTGAGATGTAGGGGTGCCACCAAAGACATGAACTTTTGTGAAATTTCAAATTTGTCTAATTGCCAAAAGGTTGACCTGGAAATGTTGAGTACAGTGAACTTTTATACAGTAACATGTTCTATAGGGTTATCAAAGTAAAAATTGTTAGTTTGCCCTTTGGGCAACTTAGGCATTTCTCAGAATTCAACTTTCAAGATTCTCCATTCATTTGTCCTATAGACACAATTAATGGAGCTCAATGGGACATGTTCACGTTACCCTGAGTTTTGTACAGCAGTGATGGATGTCGGACACACATAAAGTTTAATTGACTTTATTGTTAAACACAAGGGGCGATACTGACACACTTAAAAGAACAAACCCTAACTAAACTTCAAACTTAATTGCTCAGTCTGTGCCAGACTCCGCTCCACTGAGCAACATCACCAGGGAGAAAGAGAGAGGAAATGGAACCTGAACTCTGAACCTAGCCCGTGCGTCTCCCTCCAGATATGTCTCCCCACCCGCCACCCAAGAGTAACCGTCCTATCGCAAGCTTGCGATTAGCTTGCAGCGGCGAAGGTTTGGCTGTTGGCTGCGGTCATGTTCAACTGCCTGCAGCACATTCTGCAGGTGCTGCTCCTTCCTGGCCACTGCGACGAAGTCGGACGTGAGCTTGACGCCACGCTCGGCACAGTCATTGACCACGTTCATTGCACATACATTGACCTCACTTTTTTTTAACGCAGCATTGGTCGCCCATTCCTTCACATCGAGAGACATCAATTCTGGATCAATGTGCAGCTGGTGCATCCCAAACCAGCAATCCTATTGGCGAGATCAGCCAAGCTGGTGGTTGGCAAGAGGGTGGGGAACTTTGGCTTGCCAAAGCCAGTGCCAAAGCGCTGCTCAGGGATGTGCATGGGGAGATCAGCGGGCTTGTGCTCCAAGATCGCACTGGCAAGTGCACGCTTGTCCTCATTGGGCACCTTGCTGCTGAAGAGAGCCAGGGGTAGCATCTCACCTGTCAGGTACCAGCGATGCCTCTCCAGTGCCTTGATCGCTGATGCTGCAATGCCTTCATCTACAGCCTTGTATGCCTGCAGGTGGTGGTAGAGTGTCAGGTCATTCCAGGCAGCATCTACAGATTTATCGCAGGTCAACCACCACTTTGCATAGATGTGTGTAATGAAAATGGCAAATGCCCGAATCTTCGGCACCTGCTGCCGTGTGGTAATTGTGCCCTGGGGAAGCAACGCGATGTGCTGCTTCATCAAAGCCAGCTTGAGAGTATAGAGCAGCTTGGCCATCCATCGTGCCTTGTGGAGCGCTCCCGGTCGTTGGAAGGTCACTGCAGTCTGCTCTTCACCACCTTCATCCAGAAACACAAGACACAGCTGCACAAACTCACGGTAGTCACCTCGCTTGTGGTCAGTCACTTCTTTTGCGCACCTGACAAGTTCAGCACGTAACTTGCCCAGGAGTGGTTGCTCGGTGTTGCCAGGAATGTAACGGGACCATTGGCTGCTGGATTATTGTGGTAACAGGTTCCATTTCTCTCTCAGACGTGTGAACAAGGTAACCTCTGGCGAGCGTGATGTCTCCACCTTCAGGTCTGTAAAAACCTGGTTCAGGAGGACCTCACCAATGTGGTGCCGGCACCCAGACCAAAGCAGTGGTCGGCCCAGTGAGAGCAATATGGCAATGCAGGCTGCTGTGAGATGGCCGGTGTTTGGCGCAGTGGTGTCAAATGCCATGTTGACAACCTGGTCAGCGCAGCACCAGTCCTGCAGCAACTTGCATGTCAACCGGGCAATGATCACTCCACATGCCTCATTGGTCTGCTTCTTATACGCCGGGACACCAAGCAGTTTCAGCCGCTCTGCATCTCCAACCACCACTGTAAGAAGCTCCTCCAACTGGCGCACATTGGTGAGCATCGGTGTTAACTTGATGTCCCAGTGTAGGGTGCACAATGGAGGTGGTGTCCACTGTTTGTGCCGTTCCTCACTGATTGTCTCCAGCACTTGGCGTCTTGCTCGGTCAGCTGTTGCGTAAGATGCAGAGAGATGTGTACAGTCACCGCCTAACTCTGCAACCAGGCCACGCGTGAAGGCAGCCTGTTGCGTTGGTGACATCTTCAACCTTGTAGCCAGTGACACAACACTTGGTCGGCTAAGGATGTCATGTGGAATGAAGACGTTTGTTCCAGTCTTCTTACGCTTGTGGGATGGTTCGCCCTCAGATGTTGGACAGACTGTGTTAGTATCCTCCTCTGGCTCCTCATCACTCTCCGACACCAAGCTGGACATTGCCGTCATCTCCTCCAGCTCCTTTTCACAGCGGGACTGCCTGGCTGCTGCAGCAGCTTGACGCTCCTCTCGCCGCTTCACCTTGAGCTGCAGCTTTTTGTCCAATACACCAAATGTGGCCACTCTGTCGGTCTTCATGCTGGCCAAGAAAGCTAGGTCTTCTGGGTTATCAATCAGCTTTTCAACATTTGGAGGCCACAGCGGAAATGTGGCATCAAGTCTGCACTCCATTTTCTCCAATTGTTTCGCTGTAGTCTCACTGGAGCGCTTGGCCTGGGAGATTTTCAGCAGCTTGTTGTTAGCATTGACTAAGTCTACCATCTTGTGGCAGGCCCGCTTGTCGCTCATCATTGGGATGTTGGCTTTCTTGTAAAATAGCCGCACCTGCTCCAGGACACCCTTGGTTGCCTCGAACTGCGACAACGCTCCGTTTGCACCAGGTTTCTTGGCAAGCATGCAGCGTAAGATCTGACGACCAGTTGGCAGTTTGGCGCCGGTGATGATGCCATCCTCACTGGTGATGCTGGGGCCTAGACCAAAGACCAGGCTGCGACTGCTAGTCTGGCAGGGACCAGTTGGTGAGGGCAGCATCTTAGGAGAGCTGGATCCTGGGGTAGGTTGTGTTGTGCAGTGCCTGGGAATGAAAAGGACACAAGCTCAAGGATAGTGTTTAAAATCATATCTTAGCATACTTAATATCACTCAATTAGGATAAACCATGCTGTATTTTAGCTGTACATCGTCCAACTTTATCATTACAATGATAACTTACTCTTACATCACTACCAGAGTAGCTAGCTGTGCTTGAAAATATACCTATGTTTAAAATGTTAATTTAATACAAGGACAAGGATAGATTTTAAAATCATATCTTGGCATACTTAATATCACTCAATTATGATAACCCATGCTTGCATAAGCCTCACATTTTAGCTGTACATAGTCTAACTTCAACATAACTTACCGTTACTACCAGAGTAGCTAGCTGTGCTCGCAAATATACTTATATTTAAAATGTTAATTTACTGTAACAACTACAATGCTACGTCTCAATAAACATGAGACATCAATACTCTGAATATGACATTGTCCACTCTAGAATAGCTGCTACTGTTGATGTTAAGCTTAATAGCTTAGCTAACATAGATAGCTAACTGTGGTTAGCAAACTATTGCTAGCTAGATTGTTAGATTGTTAGATTGTTAGCTAGATGTAATGAGCACCACATACCTGTATAAATATGACTTAAGTATACAAAGACACAACTACAGATATGACAGTAATATGTAATAATACATACCCAACACAAAAACAGAAAGATCACCTCAGTTTTCTTGAGCTGCAGTCTTGTTTACCTCAGATCTCCATGGCGCCCATTGAGCACTGTTTACCACTTTATCCAACAAAAACAGATGTACAGTGGCACCCCTAAATCATCATGTATTGGAAAAATATTTTTGCATGTGTTGTTTCTACATATATTGGAACACTTTTAGCACCCAGCCATATCAAAATTCAAGAATTGTGTTTTTTGATGCACCCTAGGCAACAGGCACAGGTAAGTTGCTGTTCACTGCAGCAGGCTTTGGGGCAGCTTTGACATACCTCTTGGTCTTAGCAGATGTTTTCCATTTCTGGATGGCTGGCTCTGGGTCAAACTCTGCCACTGTGGTGGTGATGTGGCTGACCCTCATGAGTGACCCCAGAGTTTCATTGGTCATCTGGGATTTTCTGGATGTTTTTATGAGGTTCATGAGGGAAAATCCACGCTCCACGGCAGCAGAGGAGGGAGAAAGGGTGACCATCATGTACACCAGAACCAGGACGTCCTTCACATCTGGGTGGTTCTCAGTGAGAAGGTCACTTATGACCTCCTTGGCGGGCTGCCTCTGCCTGTACTTCAGTCTGGCCTTGAGAGCTGGCCACTGTCTAGGGATGTTGGTTACCTCCTCCTCACTGAGAACGGACTCGAAGTGGGTCACCATGTTCATAACCTGAACATCACCATATGTAGCTAGTTGTGCGTCTGATCTTGGGACGTTCCTGGGGTCAAGAACATGGAAATCACTGAAAGGGGTATCCTTCAGGAAGGAAAATCTCTTCTCTAGGAACTTCACACAATTCTCCAAGAAGGAATTCTTCACTGTTTCTGGAATACCTGTTCCTTTCAGTGAAGTGATGTGTCCATTGCTCTTACTGTCAAACTTGCCATCCTTGCAGGTTGCCATGTAGGCAGTGTAGACATCACCTCTATTATGCTTAAGGCCTTCCAACTTGATCCTGGCCTCACACAACTTTACATCAACATCATAAATGAACAGATCATTACTCTACACTTCCAAGACATCTACCATAAAGTGGAGCCCATCAACAAACTTTGCAGACTTCAGTACCTTCAAGTACCCCACACACTTAGCTCCTTCGTCTGTTTTTCTGTTTGAAGCCTCTTCCATGTGTAGGATGACGGAGTTGTAATTTTTTATTACAGCCTTGTATGCCCGGAGTCTTGACGCCATCCACCTAGTGCCACAGGGTGCTGAGAAATAGACAGGATCCTCGTCTATAACGGCTGATATGGCGTTCACCTCCCTCCTACGTTTACCAGATCCATAGTAGAATCTGTAGATGGGGTCCACTCCTTTCTCTACGATGTCAATGAAGTCAGTGGCTTTGGTGGCATCTAGGAGCGACAGCTCCAGCTTATGTGGAGCACACCAAATCGAAATGAGCACATGCCCCAACAATTCCCGCAACTTCACAATAACTCCTCCCTTGGCACCTTGGTTAACGCTGGCACCATCAAATGTGCAGCCTATTATTTTCTTCTTTATGTCTCCATCTGTTAGGTCGACATGATGTAGTGCCTCGAGGAGAGCTGCCAGAACACCATTAGCATCAGCTGACTTTACAGCCATGATGTCAATGAACTCTGTCGCTGGAAGTCCATCTGACATACCTGAAGATAGAAAATAAATAAAGTACATCAATAAAGTGCAATAACATTTTTTTAAATGATTATCTTATATAAACCTTCCCACACCAGTGTTGCCTTCACCTTTTTTTAAGACCAAGAACACTAAAAAGCAACTTCACCTTCATTCGCTTTAAACAATTTATGTATATACTTTACCTGTTAAAAACTTTTAAGTTAACTGAAAATTTAAACTAATAAAATTCATCAATAAAATGATTGTGAATTAATTACTCATAAACAAAAGGCCCTTTTGGAGATAAAATGTAACTTAAATAAGACTTACAAAAGAATTCAAAATAATAATTACCTAACATATACATTCTCCTGTTCTGTCACAGATATATCCGTGGATCCATCTCCCATCAGAGCGAAGAATCTTGAAGCCTTGAGGTCTTCAGAAACTCTGTCCTTCTCGACTTCTGCAATGGCCTGCACAAATGCCTTGCACCCCTTATCGTTCCGGTACTGTGTAGGCATTTTAATGCCATTCTTCTCTTGAAGTTCGATGAGGCCCTCAAATGAACGGAAAGGCAACTTTTGTTTGGCGACATAAAACGCAGTGTTGAACATGGGTTTCAGTTGGTCGTCCATATTTTCTGCCTGCTTCTTGAGAGCCACAAACATTGGCCCTGTGCCTTTCTCTGTGACCTCTTTCCTTTGAATGCAGAGAAGGTGATATTTGCTGGATTCGTGTGACTGAAGTGTCTCAATGCGTTTTGACCCTGTGACACGCTCGTACAGTTTACTGCTGTGGTCAGCAATGGATGGATATTCTCTGCAGACCTCACAGAACATGATGTCGTCCACACATCTTACCCATGGAAACTGGGTTTTCCAAGTCTCAATGAATGTTCTTTTCCTCTTGGGTGTCAGGGCGATGTCACTCTTGGCCTTTTTAGATGGACCAGCCATTGGTGAGATAACGGAACATGGCCTTTTAGCAGAGACTTTCTCGTGACTGGGGGGGCCATCGTTCTGCTCACACTCTGGGACTTTCTGAGGGCTCGTTTCAGCATGTTCAGGCTGTTGTTCAGACTCCTGTTCTTGCAGACAAATTATAGATTTTTGTCAACATGAATGTTAGGTACTCGTAGACTCCCCACAAACCTTTCTGCATTTTTTGGGGTTTTTTTCTGAAATAATTTGATATGCCCCTTTCAAGCCCCTTGGTACATAAAGAGCCCCTTTCAATCCCCCCCTTTTAAAAGAAAAAAGTATTTTACATAGGTCTACCCCTTTTTTATTATTATTTTTATTAATTTCTTATTTAATAGTTTTTCATTATTTTTATTTTTATCTTCGATTTTATTTTTGATTTGATGAACCTGTGTGAATCTGTGCTGTCCTGTTTTTCACCCTTACCCTGTTGCCTACTGAATTTCCCCACAGGGATTGTAAATCGCTTTGGATAAAAGTGTCAGCTAAATGCAATGTAATGTAATGGATTAATAAAAGTCCCCTTTCAAGCACTTAATCCACTATTTTCGGACATAATTTATTTCAATTATTTTCCTTGTTAATGTAACACACCATTTTACAACTGTGAGAATGATGTGTACAAACCTTAGAAAAGAAAGAAATCTTTTGTTGCCCTCTTGGGGCCACTAGAACCTTCTTCTTCGCCATCGTATTTCATTTTCACACAGTTTTACGACACGACGTAAGTGAGTAAAAAAACGTAAAGCGGTTGCAAACAACAACGGCAGACACGGACAATTTGCGAATGAGTTATGCCTTTTGTAAGCTGAATTTATCAATAATTTGTCAATAAATAGCGGCGAAAAATGTCACTTGTCCATTGGACAAGTCAATTTAAAAATCTACTTGTCCAATGTTGTGAATAACCCGTCCCGGACGGTGGGACGTGCACTTTTTCGCACACTGCCTCCTTGCTAGTCTACTCTCTGCTCTGAGTGTGTAGCTCAATGTGGAACACCTCCTTGCTAGTCTACTCTCTGCTCTGTGTGTGTAGCTCAATGTGGAACACCTCCTTGCTAGTCTACTCTCTGCTCTGTGTGTGTAGCTCAATGTGGAACACCTCCTTGCTAGTCTACTCTCTGCTCTGAGTGTGTAGCTCAATGTGGAACACCTCCTTGCTAGTCTACTCTCTGCTCTGTGTGTGTAGCTCAATGTGGAACACCTCCTTGCTAGTCTACTCTCTGCTCTGTGTGTGTAGCTCAATGTGGAACACCTCCTTGCTAGTCTACTCTCTGCTTTGTGTGTGTAGCTCAATGTGGAACACCTCCTTGCTAGTCTACTCTCTGCTCTGAGTGTGTAGCTCAATGTGGAACACCTCCTTGCTAGTCTACTCTCTGCTCTGTGTGTATAGCTCAATGTGGAACACCTCCTTGCTAGTCTACTCTCTGCTCTGAGTGTGTAGCTCAATGTGGAACACCTCCTTGCTAGTCTACTCTCTGCTCTGAGTGTGTAGCTCAATGTGGAACACCTCCTTGCTAGTCTACTCTCTGCTCTGAGTGTGTAGCTCAATGTGGAACACCTCCTTGCTAGTCTACTCTCTGCTCTGAGTGTGTAGCTCAATGTGGAACACCTCCTTGCTAGTCTACTCTCTGCTCTGTGTGTGTAGCTCAATGTGGAACACCTCCTTGCTAGTCTACTCTCTGCTCTGTGTGTGTAGCTCAATGTGGAACACCTCCTTGCTAGTCTACTCTCTGCTCTGTGTGTAGCTCAATGTGGAACACCTCCTTGCTAGTCTACTCTCTGCTCTGTGTGTGTAGCTCAATGTGGAACACCTCCTTGCTAGTCTACTCTCTGCTCTGAGTGTGTAGCTCAATGTGGAACACCTCCTTGCTAGTCTACTCTCTGCTCTGTGTGTGTAGCTCAATGTGGAACACCTCCTTGCTAGTCTACTCTCTGCTCTGAGTGTGTAGCTCAATGTGGAACACCTCCTTGCTAGTCTACTCTCTGCTGTGTGTGTGTAGCTCAATGTGGAACACCTCCTTGCTAGTCTACTCTCTGCTCTGAGTGTGTAGCTCAATGTGGAACACCTCCTTGCTAGTCTACTCTCTGCTCTGAGTGTGTAGCTCAATGTGGAACACCTCCTTGCTAGTCTACTCTCTGCTCTGAGTGTGTAGCTCAATGTGGAACACCTCCTTGCTAGTCTACTCTCTGCTCTGAGTGTGTAGCTCAATGTGGAACACCTCCTTGCTAGTCTACTCTCTGCTCTGTGTGTGTAGCTCAATGTGGAACACCTCCTTGCTAGTCTACGGCTCTGCTCTGTGTGTGTAGCTCAATGTGGAACACCTCCTTGCTAGTCTACTCTCTGCTCTGAGTGTGTAGCTCAATGTGGAACACCTCCTTGCTAGTCTACTCTCTGCTCTGAGTGTGTAGCTCAATGTGGAACACCTCCTTGCTAGTCTACTCTCTGCTCTGAGTGTGTAGCTCAATGTGGAACACCTCCTTGCTAGTCTACTCTCTGCTCTGAGTGTGTAGCTCAATGTGGAACACCTCCTTGCTAGTCTACTCTCTGCTCTGAGTGTGTAGCTCAATGTGGAACACCTCCTTGCTAGTCTACTCTCTGCTCTGAGTGTGTAGCTCAATGTGGAACACCTCCTTGCTAGTCTACTCTCTGCTCTGTGTGAGTAGCTCAATGTGGAACACCTCCTTGCTAGTCTACTCTCTGCTCTGAGTGTGTAGCTCAATGTGGAACACCTCCTTGCTAGTCTACTCTCTGCTCTGAGTGTGTAGCTCAATGTGGAACACCTCCTTGCTAGTCTACTCTCTGCTCTGTGTGTGTAGCTCAATGTGGAACACCTCCTTGCTAGTCTACTTTCTGCTCTGTGTGTGTAGCTCAATGTGGAACACCTCCTTGCTAGTCTACTCTCTGCTCTGAGTGTGTAGCTCAATGTGGAACACCTCCTTGCTAGTCTACTCTCTGCTCTGAGTGTGTAGCTCAATGTGGAACACCTCCTTGCTAGTCTACTCTCTGCTCTGAGTGTGTAGCTCAATGTGGAACACCTCCTTGCTAGTCTACTCTCTGCTCTGTGTGTGTAGCTCAATGTGGAACACCTCCTTGCTAGTCTACGCCTCGGAGCATCTGGTGTTCGCTTCCTCTCTGTTGTTGATATGTAAATATTTACTGTGTCATGTTTTCCTCTCGAGAAGCTGCAGCGCCAGAAACACCTCATTGAGGACCGCCGTGTCCCTCCATCAGGACGAGAGTACAAACGAGCACACACACACAGAATAAACCACAGTCACACTGAATATCACACACACACACTCACACTGAATATCACACACACACACACACACACACACAGTCACACTGAATATCACACACACAGAATAAACCACAGTCACACTGAATATCACACACACACAGTCACACTGAATATCACACACACACACACACACAGTCACACTGAATATCACACACACACACAGTCACACTGAATATCACACACACACACACACAGTCACACTGAATATCACACACACACACAGTCACACTGAATATCACACACACACACACACAGTCACACTGAATATCTCTCACACACTTGTTCTTCAATCACCCACCAAATGCTTTGACAGGCGTTACAAATATCACAAATATCACTTTTCTGATATTATAAAGTAAATCAATCCAAACAAAGGAAGCCACAGATTCCTCAAAGACAAAATGAAGCTGCTCACTTTACAAAGAGAGAACTGCTTTCTGCTGACTCATCGTGTCTTAATGAGCGTCGTCGTTAAGGAGGGGTAGTGTTTGAAACAAGCAGATTGTTCATCAGCACAAAGTCGAGCACAGTGAAGACGATCAGACACGCATCAGCTCTGATGTACTCTGGTTCAATAACAGCAGCTTTTCCACTAAATGACTCAAAACATTACTTTTAAAAGTATTTCCTGCTTCTTTCTATCAACTATATTCAATATGATTATATTCTCAATTGGGATTAATGCATCAGAATAAATATATTATCTTATGATATCTGGGGGGAAATTCAAAAGCTGTATATAAAGTAATATGTTAAGAAATATACATAGTTTATTATAAATGAATCCCACTGAGGAACATTCAATAATACAAAGTGTTCATTGGTACTTTGATGAATACATCTGAATGCCTGTACTTGAACCCAACATGCAGAGTTGGGGCTTTTGAGGCGTCTACAAAGGAAGCAGGGGAATCTAAAGTGGGCCTGCTGAGTTTGAAATGCTTAGCCTGCTCTATTTCTGGTTCTATGAATGTCTGAGCGCCGGCTTTAGCTGATCACTTTATCTCAGTTGAACCTCCTGAACACAAACTGCTGCAGAGGAATCAAAACAAGACGGCCGTGAGATGAAAGAGAGCCGTTTGACACAGAGACACGTGTTGCTGTCCTCTGATCATGATGAACCAGTTCCTCATCAATCCTTTATTCACAGCTACAGAAGTTGTTTGATCGATTGCTGATGAGTTCTCTATGTTTGGGTTCAATGCCAACATCCCCTCATACAGAAAGAGAAACTACTCCATCTTTAGTTTCTCTTTCTGTTTTGAAGAACACACACAGTGACACACACTGTCACACTACGTAGGTAGGTAGGTAGGTAGGTAGGTAGGTAGGTAGGTAGGTAGGTAGGTAGGTAGGTAGGTAGGTAGGTAGGTAGGTAGGTAGGTAGGTAGGTAGGTAGGTAGGTAGGTAGGTAGGTAGGTAGGTATTGTTACAGGACCAGTGTGTACAAATACTTAAAAGTAGAAAAGACCACTCAGATACATTAAAGAACTATAAATCCATCTCATCTGGAACAGTCTTGCGGCTCACATGATGGATGTGAGTGCACACATGTTTGCTTTTCAGTTGGAAAACTAGGGGATTTCTCATCTCTTGTGATGCAATCTATAACCTCTGAGCCTTCATGAGAGGAACGACTTTCTCTCTTTCACAACAGGGCGGAGGAGACGAGTTTGAACTCGACTTTGTTCCCGGAGAGAGACACGAACACGCCTCAGCAGTTTGAAGGGATCCATTATCACTCATCCAATCCGTCGGAGCTCATACTCGACTGGAATAAAACCCACATTCAAAGACGCCGTTTGGCTCTTTCTGACTTTTCAGGAAACCTTTGTTGTCCTAACTTTTACTGACATGTTAAAGTTCTCTGTAAGCTCTTCAACCTCCGGGAAAGAAGCCGTTGCATAACTTCTATGTGACTCCTCCTCTCTGTTGCAGCTTGAGGCAGGAAGCAGCCTCTGTCTCATTTCAACAACTAAACTCTTCATGTACATCTCCATGGCATTCTCTGCAGAGATGTGCCCAACACTACAGAGAAGTTAGTAGCTGCTGCAGCTTCAATGACACTTGTTTAGCACCATGGACCTGTCACCACCATGTGTGCTCTCTCTTTGGGATAGTGACGCAGGTTTTATACCAAACAAGCAGATAACAAACTGGTTTCTCTTTTGATGAGACCACAGAAGAAGAGACAGAGCCGCTAAGAGTAGGGATAAAAGTAGAAGTACTCAAGTCTTGTAGTAGAAGTACTCAGGTCTTGTAGTAAAAGTAGAAGTACTCAGATCGTGTAGTAAAAGTAGAAGTACTCAGGTCTTGTAGTAAAAGTACACAGATCTTGTAGTACAAGTAGAAGTACTCAGATCTTGTAGTAAAAGTAGAAGTACTCAGGTCTTGTAGTAAAAGTACTCAGGTATTGTAGTAAAAGTAGAAGTACTCAAGTATTGTAGTAAAAGTACTCAGATCTTGTAGTAGAAGTACTCAGATCTTGTAGTAAAAGTAGAAGTACTCAGGTCTTGTAGTAGAAGTACTCAGGTCTTGTAGTAAAAGTAGAAGTACTCAGGTCTTGTAGTGGAAGTACTCAGGTCTTGTAGTAGAAGTACTCAGGTGTTGTAGTAGAAGTACTCAGATCTTGTAGTAAAAGTAGAAGTACTCAGATCTTGTAGTAAAAACAGAAGTACTCAGATCTTGTAGTAAAAGTACTCAGGTCTTGTAGTACAAGTAGAAGTACTCAGGTCTTGTAGTAGAAGTACTCAGGTCTTGTAGTAAAAGTAGAAGTACTCAGGTCTTGTAGTAGAAGTACTCAGATCGTGTAGTAAAAGTAGAAGTACTCAGGTCTTGTAGTAAAAGTAATAGTACTCAGATCGTGTAGTGAAAGTAGAAGTACTCAGGTCTTGTAGTAGAAGTACTCAGGTCTTGTAGTAAAAGTAGAAGTACTCAGGTCTTGTAGTAAAAGTAGAAGTACTCAGATCGTGTAGTAAAAGTAGAAGTACTCAGGTCTTGTAGTACAAGTACAAGTACTCAGGTCTTGTAGTAAAAGCAGAAGTTATTTTATGTTTCTATCTGTGTTTATTGTGTTATGTTAGTTTCTTAAAATGCAAAAACATTCAACATGAAGTTAAAGTGTTTATGAAAGTAATAAATGACATGAAATGAGAGGAAGAGGAAGTAACCCTTGTTACGCAACAGCAACCTCTATACAATAATGCCGATATTTGATTTTAATACGCATTTAAAATGAGGAAAAACACCCAAAAGGTGCAGAATAGTTGAAATGTGTGAAAGATTCAGAATATAACACTTTAGAAATGCATTAAAGATAAACAAATACAAAAGGAGGAAGAGGAAGTAACCGTAATTGTGCAACATGAACATGAATTACTTGAGAAACCTCTATAAACAATGCAGAAATATTGTTTTAAGGTTTAATTTAAGAGAAATACTGGGTTTTTCTCGACTGCGTCTTCTTCCTGGAGCTAACTCTTAGTGTTAGCACTAGCACAGTTAGCATTAGCACAGTTAGCCATTTTCTACTCACTTTGTCCTCTTCGGGAATAAGAGATTCTGCGTCCTTTTCACATCCTTCTGGCCCAGAGCGGAGTTAAAAGACACCTTGACCATCCTGGAAGTAACGCGTGCAAAGTCCAACGATAAAAAAGCCTTAAAAACCCGTAAAAAGAACAAAAAGATGTGCTCCGAAGTGAAGAACTTCACTCTCTCCGGCCAAAGTCTGATCTGTTGTGATAACAGTCAAGCTGCGCACTGGCCCACTGCGCAGCTTGACGGTTGGCTTTCAGAATAAAAGCATAATAGTAAAAGTAGAAGTACTCAGGTCTTGTAGTAAAAGTAGAAGTACTCAGATCTTGTGCTTGAGTAAAAGTAGAAGTACTCAGATCTTGTAGTAAAGGTAGAAGTACTCAGGTCTTGTACTTGAGTAAAAGTAGTGTACTCAGGTCTTGTTCTTGAGTAAAAGTACTCAGATCTTGTAGTAAAGAAAGAAGTACTCAGGTCTTGCACTTGAGTAAAAGTAGAAGTACTCAGATCTTGTTCTTGAGTCAAAGTAGAAGTACTCAGATCTTGTAGTAAAGGTAGAAGTACTCAGGTCTTGTACTTGAGTAAAAGTAGTGTACTCAGGTCTTGTTCTTGAGTAAAAGTACTCAGATCTTGTAGTAAAGAAAGAAGTACTCAGGTCTTGCACTTGAGTAAAAGTATTCAGATCTTGTGCTTGAGTAAAAGTAGAAGTATTCAGATCTTGTGCTTGAGTAAAAGTAGAAGTACTCAGATCTTGTACTTGAGTAAAAGTAGAAGTACTCAGATCTTGTACTTGAGTAAAAGTAGAAGTATTCAGATCTTGTGTTTGAGTAAAAGTAGAAGTATTCAGATCTTGTGCTTGAGTAAAAGTAGAAGTATTCAGATCTTGTGCTTGAGTAAAAGTAGAAGTACTCAGATCTTGTACTTGAGTAAAAGTAGTGTACTCAGGTCTTGTTCTTGAGTAAAAGTAGAAGTATTCAGATGTTGTACTTGAGTAAAAGTAGAAGTACTCAGATCTTGTAGTAAAGGTAGAAGTACTCAGGTCTTGTAGTAAAGGTAGAAGTACTCAGGTCTTGTACTTGAGTAAAAGTAGTGTACTCAGGTCTTGTTCTTGAGTAAAAGTACTCAGATCTTGTAGTAAAGAAAGAAGTACTCAGGTCTTGCACTTGAGTAAAAGTAGAAGTACTCAGATCTTGTTCTTGAGTCAAAGTAGAAGTACTCAGATCTTGTAGTAAAGGTAGAAGTACTCAGGTCTTGTACTTGAGTAAAAGTAGTGTACTCAGGTCTTGTTCTTGAGTAAAAGTACTCAGATCTTGTAGTAAAGAAAGAAGTACTCAGGTCTTGCACTTGAGTAAAAGTATTCAGATCTTGTGCTTGAGTAAAAGTAGAAGTATTCAGATCTTGTGCTTGAGTAAAAGTAGAAGTACTCAGATCTTGTACTTGAGTAAAAGTAGAAGTACTCAGATCTTGTACTTGAGTAAAAGTAGAAGTATTCAGATCTTGTGTTTGAGTAAAAGTAGAAGTATTCAGATCTTGTGCTTGAGTAAAAGTAGAAGTATTCAGATCTTGTGCTTGAGTAAAAGTAGAAGTACTCAGATCTTGTACTTGAGTAAAAGTAGTGTACTCAGGTCTTGTTCTTGAGTAAAAGTAGAAGTATTCAGATGTTGTACTTGAGTAAAAGTAGAAGTACTCAGATCTTGTAGTAAAGGTAGAAGTACTCAGGTCTTGTACTTGAGTAAAAGTAGAAGTAGGCCTACTCAGATCTTGTAGTAAAGGTAGAAGTACTCAGATCTTGTACTTGAGTAAAAGTAGAAGTAGGCCTACTCAGATCTTGTAGTAAAGGTAGAAGTACTCAGGTCTTGTACTTGAGTAAAAGTAGAAGTAGGCCTACTCAGATCTTGTAGTAAAGGTAGAAGTACTCAGGTCTTGTTCTTGAGTAAAAGTAGAAATACTCAGATCTTGTAGTAAAGGTAGAAGTACTCAGGTCTTGTACTTGAGTAAAAGTACTGACAATACATTCATGCTTAATCAATCCTACACGGTTAAAGAAAAGTGGCATAGCAGGTCAAAAGGGCCATATGAAGTAGTAAAGTGCAAACACAGCTGGTTTGGTGTCCATCAGTGGCGGCGCCAGAGTATTTGTGTTGGGTAATCTATGGTGGGGCTAACCCATCAGTGGTGGGGCTCAAGTCAGTATTTGCAATGTAATTACATACACGCTATATCGCCCCCTTGACAGTGAAACGCCATGCGTGAGGTTTAGATTATCTCCCTGTCTCAATCAAAATGGAACTGTATGAAATAAAACGGCACATTTGTCTTGTAGTAAATAAAAAGGGATCACTGTGCACGTGACGTATGATAGTACACGTTGAAGATTCAAATGGGATACTGAATGGCGGTTCCGATTGATCTCAATCATTAATGCAGCATGACGCAACGTTTCGTTGCTCTGATTGGCTGTAGGTCTGACTCTATTCAAATTGCATTCGGAGGCATTTTGATCTGACCGCGGCCGCGCTGATATTATAACGCCAGAGAATTTCCACACCTTTTAGTGTATAAAACTCCCCCACTACTTAGACTGTTCCTTGCACCCCTCTTCTAGCACAAGCCCGAATGGTCTCAACCATATTGCATCAGTAACGTGCACTTGTTGTAACAGCAGGATCAGTTTGTGTGTTGTGGACACGACCCGTATATTTTCGCAAGCCGTGTTCTCAACATTTAGCTTATTATCTAATTGAATTTGCTTACTTCAAGATCATTGTTCATGGTGGGGCTAAGCCATCTCTTGGTATGGCTGTAGCCTACCCCAGCCATACGCTGGCGCCGCCACTGGTGTCCATACACAGATCCTGTTTAACATGGCCAACATGAGACATCCCTATTTAACGATGCAATCAATAAAGCAGTTGTTTTTGTGCAAACAGGATTGGCTGATGTCTAAAGTTCCTCAAAGCAATCAGAGATTTGTTTGAGCGCTAACTTTTGAACTGTAAAATCAAAGCGTGCCTTGAAGCAGACGGGTTGGAGTCTCTGTACGGGACAAAGCGTGTCTGCTTGCCTTCATCCCCACGGCACGGATCATTACCCAGACAAAGGACACGGTTGATGCTGATGCCTAAAGATGAGTGGAATGGCATCAGAACAGAAATGCAGTAAGACAGCATAGAAATACAGGTCAGCAACACTTTCAGTTACCTTCCTTCAAACGATTGCTTTGGTTTTCTTTTGCCTTTCTGAACCAGCCAGATCCACAAGGTGCAATGTTTCACATCAAACCTCGACTTAACCAGGCAGGTCCCATTGATCTTTGTCAGCAAGTAGGTTCCACACGAAGCACAACATCACATGTACATACCTCCACATCTACCAACAGCATCAAAGAGCATTGCACCTACGCCAGCTTGAAAGCTTGATTTTGAAACAACCGAGTCAGCTCTGAAACAAAAGAAAGCCCAAATACGATCTCACACTCTGTGCGCCGTAGAAAGCAGCCTTCACACAAAACCAGTCATATTTCAGGGCCGATGTATAGTCATGAAAAACAGCATAAACTCATCCAAATCAAGTCAAATCTGTTTTGATAGAAATTGAACGATATCGGATTATTTTGTCCCCTTCACAAAAACACAATCCAACATGTTCTAAAGCCTTACTGGATGAAATCTGAAAACATGAGTAAAAGCAGTTGAAAGTCACATGACGTGCTGAAACACTGAGAGCCGTTTAAAGGCATTGGAAGCGAGTAAACAAAGTGCAATCCAGTCGTCCTTCTTAGCTTCTGTCCGCAGTGGAGCAATAATGTGTTATCATTATACTACCAGTATGGATTCATAACCCTGAAGCAAGTGTTCATACAAGTGCAACATAAAGCCTGTGGTGTTTGCATAGCCATCAGATGTGTGCTCCTTGTTAACACTTCACTTTGTGTAAACTCAAAATGTTGTATTGTGACGACCCCTGTGTGTGTGTGTGTGTGTGTGTGTGTGTGTGTGTGTGTGTGTGTGTGTGTGTGTGTGTGTGTGTGTGTGTGTGTGTGTGTGTGTGTGTGTGTGTGTGTGTGTGTGTGTGTGTGTGTGTGTGTGTGTGTGTGTGTGTGTGTGTGTGTGTGTGTGTGTGTGTGTGTGTGTGTGTCACGATCTCCCTTCCTCCCTATCAGCACTGATTGAGGGCACCGGTACCTGAGCAGTGGAAGGCCCGAGCCAGAGTGTCTCTCTGCTGAGGATCTGTTGGCATTCAACACCTTGCACCACACCATGTTCATTTCCACTCAAACTACACTAAAACTATGAAGGACTCAAATGTGACTAAAACTAACAAGCATTTTCTAAATCAAAAATAGCTGCCAAAATGAACAGCCACACCTACTGATCTCACTGATTAGCACGTCCCATCGGAGTGGCTCTTGTGCTGAGGTATCATAATGAACATCTGGCTGAGTTTCCAAACAGCCATCTGATGGGCAGAGAACACACTTTGGGGTTATAAGGGAGTGGCTTTACCTGGTAGAGGAGTGATGTGAGAGAGACACAGTGATTCAACGTGAGACTCACACACCTGAGTTTAAGTAGCTGCTGATCAGACACTCAGATGGAGATGTCATGCAGCCATTGGGACACTAGAGGGAGCCAAACAGGTAGACATTGCAGCCTGTCCTCCTCCAAAAAGAGGTCGATTGTTCAGCAGCTTATCACGACCTAGTTGAGCACCTCTAGTGGTCGTGTAAGAAACACCTGAGGAAGAAAGGAGTAGATACATTCTTAATATCACAGCTGTTCTTCACCTGGTGATGTTCTCTGCAGAGGTGAAGCCATGGGCGTAGGAAGCATCCTGAATGTGGGGGGGACATTTTTAAACGGGGGGGTGTGGGGGTCGCCCACCACCACGAAAAAAACAAATAGATTTCTTGTATTCTGGTGCATTCTAACAGTTGGTTTGATACTTCTTTGTGGCTATACTAGCATGAGGGAAATGATGGGTACATTTTGTAATTCCATCCAGTCGTAAAGAAAGGAAACATATTTGATTATTAATTCAGAGCCGTCTTTGAATTAATAAAAAGCAGTTTAAATGCCCATTTTTTTGTACATTTATATACAACAATAAATATTTGTGAGTGCATTGAGAGATATTGTTGTGGAGAGTCATTTATATATAAATCACAAAATACATTTGTGAATCCTTCTGTGAGCATTTATTAACATCGAGACTGA